AGAAAACTGTTTAGTAAATTAATTGAAGGAAAGCATTATTTCCAATGAAAGAAAAATATAAATTCACTATGTATTTGTGGTGAATTGATAACTGCAAATCTACAATAATATCGATGAAATACACTACTGTGCATGCATGTTTGATCTGGCCATATATTCGACAGAAAAGTAAAGACATAGATCAAAAGCTTGATACCTATAATCTGGATAAATTTGCCTAAACAGCATACACCTATACTTCAGTGGGAGTTTGTGCAGGATTAACACACTCGATTGATTGTCATTCATAAAGGAGAGAAAAAATGTAAAATAATAGGGAAAGTAATTTCATTTTTATTTATCTTGCCTAGTCACTAATTTTATGTTTTAGTTTATCTTTCAGTCAATAGAAATTGAATTCCAACTGATAGGGGATTCTAAGAGAATGCTTTCAGTATGGCTTGATGGGGCTAGAGCCTGCATGGGAACAATCCATAGGAAACCACAGTTATGAAGTGCTTTTGCATATTGCAGAGCTTTTATGAATATCCCACTGGAAATTATTTCAAGACTTTTATACTGCATTGTAATCATGACAGACCTACCTGGCAGACCAAAAAAATCAGACCTCTCCAAACATCTGGACAGCAATCAAAGAACACTGTTAAGCAGTTGTTCCCATGCCCTTTCCCACTCATTTGCTGTTAAAGGATGCCAGAAAATATTTTACGTTTGAGTTTATGTTTCAGGAGTTACAAAAGCTCCTCCTTCAGAAAACGTTGCTACAATTACTTAAAATCCCACCTGTTAGCCAAGGACTGAATGGGTGTGAAATCTAAATGTTCACATTTACTTGCGGATCACTTGCATTGAATCATAGAATCATAGAATAGTTTAGGTTGGAAAGGACTTTAAGATCATTCAGTTCCAACCCCCTGCCGTGGACAAGGATGCCTAACACTAGACGATGCTCCTCAAGGCTCTGTGCAGCCTGGCCTTGAATACTGCCAGGGATAGTACCACTTGTCTGGGAAACCTGTTCAGTGCCTCACCACACTCACAGTAATGAACTACTTCCTTATACCTAACCTGAATTTCCCCTGTTTAAGTTTTAACCCATTACCCCTTGTCCTATCACTACAGTCCCTAATTAAGAATCCCTCTCCAACATCCCTGTAGGCCTCCTTCAGACACTGGACGACTGCTATGAGGTCTTCAAGGAGCTTCTCTTCTCCAGGCTGAACAGCCCCAACTTTCTCAGCCTGTCTTCATATGGGAGGTGCTCCAGCCCCTGATCATCCCCACGGCCTCCTCTGGACTTGTTCAAACAGCTCCGTGTGCTTCTGATGTTGAGGACACCAGAATTGCGCACAGTGCTCCAAGTGGAGTCTCACAAAAGCAGGGTAGAGGGGCAGGATCCCCTCTTTCAACCTGCTGGTCACGCTCCTTTTGATGCAGCCCAGGATAGGGTTGGCTTTCTGGGCTGTGAGCACACACTGAAGCCAGCTCATGTTCATTTTCTCATCAATCTGCACCCCCAAGTCCTTCCCCACAGGACTGCTCTGAATCTCTTGTCCACCCAAACTGTGGCTGTGTCTTTTACTTCCTGTGCCAGTGCAGTTTAGAGGTGCTGAGGCACACACAGAATTTACTAGTATCCTTATGGTACATATAGAACCCAAGGCTCCATCCATACTTAATTTAACAGCTGTTTCTCAGAACCACAGAATAATTTCAGCTGCAGAGGATTCTGGAGGTCATTTGATCTAACCTCGCTGCCCCACCAACATGGCCAATTTTGAATTTAGACTCAAAAGTTAGTTCACTTTTCTCAGGGCATTTCAAACCATTTTACAAGGGTAAATATCATCATAATTGTCTTCCTTTTAACTGATGAGTAAAATATTCATAAGGAAGCTAAATAACTTTTCAGTATCATGCAAGTTTGGAACAGAGGATTGACTTTTAGCTTCCCTGAAAGGTAATTGAGGTATCGCTGTAGATCTGAATGTGGTCAGAATAATTACCCCAGATCACATGTCTCCAAGTTTCATACTCCCTTTATAAGGCTATAGCAAAAGGACTTCAGTGATTGTGACTTTTAACAACAATGTAGTAAAGGTAAAAAGAGGAGTGTTGTTTTTTTTCTTGTTTTGTTTTGTTTTTTAATCTAGATTCATTAAACTGTATAGTGTGTATAGTGAGAGTAAAATTGTCAATACAGATTTGTCCATTGTAAGCATAATGCATTTAGTTAGCATTTTCAGTGTTCTCATGTGATATGACTGTAAACCCATTCTACTTTTGCTTATTTGACTAAAGAGAAACAAAATCATCACAGTACAGAACTTGCATAGCAATAAACATCCATCTTTAAAACATTTATTCTCCACTCAGTTGCATTTATGAGACGTTATCCTTGTACAGATCCTACAAACAAGAATCTATGAATATGCCTGCCTGGATTAAAGCTGAGAGAGAGCAGTAACTTCATCAAGATGTTGGTTACAAATTAACTTTGTTAATGGTCAGTGTACAAAGGCTTGTCCCACATGTTGTTTCAGGAAGTGGATCGATTCTGTTGCTGTTCTGTGGAAACATGAGATGTCATTCATTTAAATTTTTTAGATCAATAACATTGCAGAGCCTGGTATAATTAAGGGTTGTATGCAGAGAGAAAGAGGGTTGTGGATAGAAGCTGAATGAGAAACCAGTTGCATAATCTGATACTGAAAATGCCTGAAATATTAGGAAGGCCAGCGTTTATTTAATTAAAAAAAAAAAAATAGAATATGTTTGAAGTCCATTTAGCTAGAACAGTTTAGACAACTTAGTAACAGTAGAACTATAGGAGTCAAGATAGTCTAAGAGTAGAAACCAGATTGCTTTTCTAGGGAGTGATACTAGGTTTTATTAGCTGAGCTAATATAATTGTGAAAAGCAGAAGAGCATTTGGGCTCACTAGCCTCTGTGATTCAAGGAAGTTTTCAAGGGTCTTTGGCATTGATATGAATAGGTCTGCTTTAATTTGACATGCTATAAGTGATTTACGCTAGTTTTTTTTCTTTCACATTAGATTCTAAAAGCCAAGTACATATGCATTGACATTCTCCTTGCCAATTCACTGAAGCCTGTGAGCCTGTATGTGAAGCTGGGCAAGAATATATCATGTGTGTGATCTTCTCTAGAAATGTTCTAATTATAACCCCATTTTGTATGAAGTGGTTACATATTAAGGCTATGAAATGGCAGATAAATTGTAGCAGACTTTTTTTTCTGTGAACATAGCTAGAGGTAAAATATGTACATTTACGTGTATAGATACAGCCTCTCCCCAAACATCCCCATGATATATGTGTATTCAGAAGCAGAGGGAATGCACTGGGACAAGAGAAGCAGTTCTCACACTTGAAGTCAGTACATTTTTATGGTTCTTATTACAGATTTAAGGGCTCAAAATTATCCCATACACAATGAACAGGCTCTAACCACCATATCCAAAGGACACAGCCAAACAAAAAGAACATGAATGTTCTGCCAAGGACTTCTAGACTTGTATCGACAGAGGAAAATATAGTTGCTGGGTAAATTCAGCAATGCCAGAAAACATACTGCTGAAAACATTTTGAGCATGCAATTATGTGTATGTTACCGATTAAAGTTTTCATCTCTGAGTGCCTAGGAATGTGCCCTTTCTGTAACAATGATCTATCTTCAGGACTGCTTTTCAGGCAGTTGCAGGTGTGAGCAGCAGAGACAACAGCTGAGAGGCAATTCACAATTACCTTGTAACGTTCAGTGAGATACTCATTTGCCCTGCATAGTTTTTTGCATGGCCTATGCAGATATATACATGCAATACATGAATTCTAAGACAGCATCCTTTAACTACAGTTTATTTTCATTGAAATAAATGGAAATAGTCTTGGTGATGGTGTTAGAATGTGAACTGGTGTTTGCTGAATAAGGTCCACAATAACTGCTAAAATTAACCAGTTACAGAATTAGAATGTTTAAAGAAAAGGAGAAAATGTTCTGTTAATATTTAAACCCACAAGATATTCAGTTAAATGTCCAGCTCTGCATTCTTCTGTGATAGACATCAGCAGTGAAACAGCAGCACCATTTTTCATTCAGTGAAAACTGTATTTCAATACCAGACTAATGCTGGAGTACAAACTGAAGATGTAATTAAGAAAAAAAAAAAAAAAAAAAAATATCATGACTAATCTAATTTGCAGCATTTGAGAATCGTTAGTAACAGCAGTGGTGGAAACAGGTAAAATAGTATCATAGACAAACAGATTAGATGCTTTTTGATTTTCATTTTTGATTTAAAGTAAATGTGAGTTTGACAGTGTCTACAAAAATGGTCTCAGCCCCTTTCATGTTCCAAATATTAGCGCTGCTCCCATCTAGCCGAAATGCTTAGAGGAGTGTTTTTGTAGTAGCTAAACTACATGGTGTTTTCCCATTGTAGAGTTTTACCTGTGTGGACCTTGGACTGCAGTTAATGTCCAGGAAACAGCTCCTTTACGGAGCAGTTAGTAGAAAATACAGGGCTTGCATTTCTGTTTTGCAAGACATCCTAGATATACCCTTTCTCCAAAACGAAAATTGTGTTCCTAAGATCCACCTTTGCAAACCAGGTGCCGTACAGAGCCTGAAGTACAAAGTACTTTCTGCCTGCGTAGCCCTTAAACATCCCCCTGTATTCCGGCGCTGTTACTGCACGGTTACCACCGGCACAAAGGACGATCGGTCACCAGCAGGTGGACGCTGTGGAAAGAGAAGTTGTAGAGGATGTTTTAACAACTATTCGAGTATATTCTTCACATTGCCAAAAGAAGGGTCCCGGTGTGCACAGATATCCCCTGTCCCCTCAAGGGCGAGCACCGGAGCGCGCACGGTCCGCGGCCGCGCAGGGCGGGACCCCGCAGAACTGAACACAGGTAGAGGCACTTCCTGTAGTCAAGATGAAAGGGAGGGGAAGGGAGTTTTCCTTTGATCTCCCTCAAAACCCAATCAGGCCAGCTCAGCTGGGCGCTGATTCTCCGTCTGTCCCTCCTACACCTTTCTCAAAGGCCCAATGGCCTCGGCCCCCGGGGAGATTGACTAGAGTCACGTGAGCTGCACCGCGGGCAGGTAACTTAGACTAGGGGAAGGGAATAGGGGAAAAAAAAAAAAAAGAGAACTGCTCCAGCCCAGGCTGGATTTCTGCCATGATGTCAGGAGGGAAGCAACCCATAGCTTGGTAATTTCACCTCCTAATCAGCCCCGGGAAGGAGATCACCGGGAGCAGGTAGAAATGGGAGTTTTCTCCATTGTTGTTGCCTTCCAACATCCTAACCAGCTCTCTCCTTTCGATATTATGACTCCTCGTTTGCAACTTTCTCTGATTACTTAGCGGTAGGGGGTGAGCCTCGTGGGATTTTTTTGTTCTTGTTTGTTCGCGTGTCTTTTTTTGTTTCCTTTTTCTTTTTTCTTCCTTTTTTTTTTTTTTTTTTTGACCTCTGCTTTTGATTGTAGTTGTTTCCCCCTGTGGTCATGACGGCTTCGCACAGTGACTCTTTGGTGGTGTTGTTTGGGGCAACCGCTGGTGCATATGGGGCTAAACTGGGTTCGGATGAGAGGGAGCTAATTCTGTTGGTGTGGCAAGTTGTGGACCTACACAGCAAGAAGGTACGGCTTCGACCCCCGGGCCGAGGGCGCGTTCCCCGGGCGCGGGGCGGGCAGGCGCCCGGCCGCTCGCCGCCTCCCCGGAGCCGGTTCTTCATCTCCGAAAGCATTGAGGGGAGGGAACGGGGGGAAAGGGACCCGACCGCGTGGTCACTCCCTCGAGAAGCGCCTTTTTTCCTTCCCTTTCAGAGGGAAAAAAAAGTAACTTTTTAAAAAAGTAACTTTTTAAAAAAGTTTAGCCGCTTCCACCCCCCTGTCCCGTCCTCTGTAAAACGTCTGTAGCTTCAAATCTGAAGATGGGCTACGGGCTTTTGAAGGTTTGAAACATAAAGCTGCCTCCGTGAGCTCCATGTGAGCATGCTTTCCCGGAGCTGGCTCAGGGTAACCGTTGGACCTTCTGCGGCCTACTTTGGGAGACTGGGATTTTTCCCAGCCACTATTTGGATAAGCTTTAAGAGAATACTGACCCCATTTAATTTTTAAACTAACCTGAAAATATGCTCACATTTTTCGTTCTGGAAGCCCTACCCTAAACAATAATACACAATGCCCCTAGAGATGAAGGGCATTGGTAAAACAAACACGGCTATCAATTTCATTACTAGATTCAGGAAGCTGCCTTAATGTTATGTGATTTTCCCTTTGCAGTTAACAACTCTTGCAAAAATCGATGCTACTCCAAAATGTGTTGCATGAAAACCGGCTCTGATTCAGGGAAGCTGAGAGTGTGGCCCTCCTGGTGGGAGGGGAGGAAACCCAGGTGCAAGGTTTTGATCTACAAACGCTTCTTCTCATTGCGGTTGTTATCGGGATGGTGATAGTGCAAGTTGCTGATTTTTCTGCAGCCTGAATGTATTGTTAAAAATAGCCAACTCGATTGTTCCTCACTGTTGCCCACAATTTCTTAAATGATTTTAGGTAGGGACTCTACACAAATCCCTGGTGAAAGCAGACAATTTGGATTTAAGTGACCAGTGTCGTGAAGTGAGTGGCTTAACACCAGAGGGATTGGACAAAGCTGAACCACTGGACCGGGTTCTTCAGCAGGTGAGGCCCTGCTCTTGGGAGCAGGGGCTGCTCAGGGTTAAGCCTGGGGATGAAATTCAATTGATTTGGTGAAATTAATGGACTTTATTTTGCCTTTCACTTTGAAACCACTGGCAGGATTTGTGCTGATCTTAAAGCCAACCCAAAGGAGACATTAATCATTTGAAATGGGAACCCCGTAATTCTGAAACAGTTAGATACAATACCAGAGTATTTGAGCTGGTGCACTAGTCCTTGGAAGATCTGGCTTCTGATTATTTCAATAGGTCTACTTTTATTCCAGATTTCTCTTACTCAGACCTTAAAAAGAGTAGGTGATAACAGCATTACTTAATTTAGCAATGCTAATAACACTTTCGAAATTTAGTTTATTTTAATCTACAGGTTCACTGATCTAATGTCTGTTAAAGACCTTGTCCCTGTTTGTTATTCTAAAAGTGAGCTGAAAACTCTAAAACTATACTTTCACAAAACATCAGCTGTGTTTTTTTGTATCTCACTTATTTACAGATGAACTTAATTAGTTTAGTGGATTATAAACTGATCGGTTTGGTTTGTTTGGGTTTTGGGTTTTTGTTTTTTTTTTTGTGGTTTGGTGTTTTTTTTTTTTTTCCTACAACTTCTGTATTTTTCTCTTTGGCTCATTTAATATTACACTAAGAGTGTAATTCTGTAAATTTATCTGATCCTTTCCAGTCAAGAGCCCTAAGTTACCTAAGAGATTTTAATGCAAGTAGTGTACACCTATGCAGTTCCTGACAGTTTGTTTGCCTTCGCTGTCTTCTTTATATGAAATGTACTTGAATGGAAAAATACAATGGTGCATTTTTGTGTAACATATAAAACTGGTTTTCCACACCTTGTCTGAATCATTCGTAGGTGTGTTTCGGCAAGAAACTTGCTTAGGCAGTAGAACAGGTTCATGTTGCTGTAACTTCTGGTGACACAGATAACTTGGCAGACTAGGTCCTAACCCTCTTTGATACAGACTAGTTAACACTTTACTGGAGTTATTATCCTGGAAAATAGAAACGTGTAACTCTTATGTATCTTAAAATTCATCAACACAAGCTGCAGATGGCATTTACTGTACCTATGCTAGTTTTGTTAGACTCCAAGACCAAGAGGTGATTTCTTTTTTAACAAAAGCTTCAAAATAACCCCTGAGAAAATGTGCAGCTGCAGGTTTGATCTTGTCCCAGATCTTGAACTAAAGACATCAGCTTAGCCTAGTACACTCAGTTTACCTTTATAACAGACATACTTTAATTATACTCAATACTTTATGAGAGATTGTATCTTATTGCCGTAAATTGCACTGTAGGTGGGTCTGCTTTAGCAAGTAAAAGGAAATACTACCTTTGTGTGTAGGTGGGTAGAGACTCTTGAAAAACAACTTTTTTTTTTTTTTCTCATTTTTTGTTTGACATATCTATGCAACTAAATAATGATTTTGCAGTTGATTGTTGGGTGGCAGTTGTGATGTAGCCAGTTCTGTCATAGGTTTTCTGGAGCACACTTTAGCTAAGCTCACCTCTCTTCCCCTCTATGTGTCCTGACACCATGGGAGTTAGGAGAGAATTAATGCATCCTCTCACAATGGTGGCAAAAAAGCAAAAATCTGTATTCTCTAATAGTAGATCATTTTCTGCACCTTCAAAGATAAGTCCATCAAATATTTTAATTGTGTCATGTATTTTAAGGGTGATTCAGGTATTTGTCAACACATTTTTTTTCCTCAGTTAAATGTTTTGATTAGCAAAAACAGACCTGGATGAAGAAGTGTTTTTTTGTGAAGAAGGAGAAAAGGAAGTAAACTTGTACCTTGATTGGAGATAGTGTCATAGAGTATGAGAAATTAGCCTTCCACACCCTGGTTGGATGGTGGTAGAAAATTTGATGATGCAGCTGAAAATCACTCACTTTAGCACACATCTAAAGGAAAGTTTCAGTGCCTGCTTCTGGCTTTTGCCTTGGGTATTCAGTCTGTACATGCAGAAGGAAGAATCTCTAAGGACAAATCCATTGTAATTTTTATCTGTGCTTCAGAGGTTTCTCTCAATCTCAGTTGTTCTGTGATTCTGGTTCTGAGATTTGTAATTGGTAAACAGTAGATCATCTACTGTGGATCCGTAGTTTTTCCACTCACCACAGAAAGCCTCCTTCTCTTACTGTTTAGTTCCCTTTCCAGCAATGATAGGGTCTACCAAAGTTTGTGGTGAAGTATTTACTCTGCTTGTCACAAGGCACTTAAACAAACGATGCATCATTTCAATTTGACTTCATATCCTTACAGTGCTATGTATTGCACAACATACTACCTGAGTTTGTCTTAAGAAATAGTCTAAAATAGGGTTCCCTACTAGTGTATTTTTGCTGAGTAATTTTACAAAGTGAGGTTCTGAAGCACAGTGCTCCTGAATAAGCAAGTTTTTTGCCACAGCGTATGTTCCACACATTTTGCTGCAAGTTGTTAAATACTATGCTTGTGCAGGATAACAAGCATTTGATTCCACAGATGCTAGTTGCATTGATGGGATGGAGCTGTGTTTTCTGATAGGTGATGTGCAATGTTCCAATAGCTGTGCTTGAGATGGGGAAGGGAGAAAGATCCTGGTAATGTATGAACAGTTACCTGAAGTCATAAAATGTGTGCCCTTTGGAACAGTCTGCTTGATGTGTTTAATTCATAATGACATTAATAACTTACCTGTTGTTGGACCAGTAACTTGCAGCTGCTGAATGAGGTATGTTGTTGTAGTTCCAGAATGCTACTTGAGTAGAAAAATATGAGGATTTTTTTTTTTTTTTTTTTGACAAGGGAAGTAGGTGTTCTCTTATTGAAGTGTGTATCTGGAACTGTCTTGAGCCTGTGATGCAAGGTTCCAAATATCCATTACTTACACTGCTTGCTAAAGGGAACATTTTTTTCCTGCATTGTTGGGACATTCTTGCTAGGCTTTGTTGTTCACATCCTCAAATCACAGGACTGGCTTATTTAGCATACTATATTTTTCTAAATAACTGCTGGAATTTTATGGTTTTCCACTTTCAAGCTTTTAAGGGAGAGAATTATTTTCAGGTTGCTCTTTGAAACCTTGCAGGAGTGGAAGGTTGTTTTTCAAGAGCCAAACCAAAATGAAATTTACCTTTCTCTCAGCCCCATTACTTGATCATCAAAAAGCTGACATCTTAATATGATTCTCTGATTCTAGCCATGGGGGTTTTAAGTTTAAGATTGAATACTAATTTGAAAGTGTTGTGGATTTCTTAATCCTTCCCATACAAAAAACCTGGCTGAATCAGCATGATTTGCCTTAAGACATGTTACTTTACTTTTGCAAGGCAATATTTGCATGTCTCCCTGACAAAGGATATGTCTTAAGAAGAGCTAATAATTTTAAAGAGGTGTTTGCAGTATTTAGCTGTAATTACCATCATACTTTGAACAATATACATAAAAAGGGAGAGGTTCTCATGAGAACTGGGTCTGCTTTTGGACCTGTTGAAAGCATCTTCATTTCATCTATGGATAGACATTTAAGTATTAAAAAATGGTTTGAAAGGCTATCTGAGCCTTGCTGAAAGTTTGTTGCATTGAGTCAAGTACATCAGTGACAGATTCAATTCATATTCTTAAACACAGAAAGACAAAGCTGGGTCTTTTTTCTCCCAGTCTTCTAAAAAAACTATGCACAGATTGAGGGGCTGCCACTTCATCAGGTGGTTGCAAGTTACCAGTTCTCTGGAGCATGTTTGGATGCCTATTGATCATCCAGCTGAGCTGCAGGCACAATTTATTTTCTCACATATCAACAAATTCAGCAAGAAACAAGCTTGTTAGATTAGCAGTTGGAAACAAATGGGATGTGGGGAGAGGCAGAAGAGCCAGTGAATTCCTCTAACCTGACAAACTGGTTACAACATTTTTTATTTATTTATTATTTTTTTTAGAGAAACTTGTTCTGCAGCCTCTTCTTCACAAAGCACCAGCTAGAAGTTTTCTTGGCTCACTTGCCAGCTGTCACAAATGTATTTTGGATAAAAGATTTCTTAAAAATTATTTTTAATGCACCTCTGAACCTTCAGTCTGCAGAAAAAAAAGCCTGAAAATGCAGGATGATCTTTTTTTTTTTGTTTGGTTTTGAGTCTTGTGGTTGGTCTTACAACTTCACATTATTTGGTGACTGCATCACCTCAGTAAACCTCCTAACAAAATCTGTGTTTTGGAATATTTACTGGATCTGAGTTCAGAAGTTTTGGAGCAGGTGTTTGGCAAACATTTGGCAAGTGTTACTGAGCAAGCTGTTCTCTCCACAACAGGTACTTAGGGTGTAGTTTCACAAGATTTGGCTTCACCGGTGAAGCCAGCTTCTTTCTTGCCCCTGCACCCTACTTTGCCACCTTTTTTTGTTGTGACAGTAAAACTCTTTGTGAAGCTGTGCTGTAAACAGGATCACTGAAATAAGCAGGTAGGGTGGGAACTTCTGAGATGCTTTGCTGTCCAAGCTTATGTCCCATGAAACTCCACCCTTTGGCTGTATTTTCATGATCTAACATGTTTGGTGATACCTGCTGAAGGTATTTCTGCCCCCGCATCACATTCTCAAGCTGCAGTTGAATGAAAACTTTTTAGTGGCACCATTTACTTAGGTAGGTATTGCTACATGGACCTCCCTCAACAATTTTATTCTGCCAATACAAAGGTTTAAGGGGCTGCATATTAAACTGGAGTGGAGCACTGTTCTGAGTGAAATAGAGTTCTGGTCTGGAGTAGTTCTGTCTGAGGTACAGTGTGGAAGATTATGTAGCTTTTCTGAGGACACCCATGGCACTGGGGTATGGACAAGCAGTGTGGGTGAAAGCAGAGAAAAGTTTTAAGGCTGGTTGACCAGCAAGCAGCTGGTATTGTGAAACTGTGGCCTTGGTTTGGGATCTGCAGTGAGTGGGAAGGATTCCCTGATAGGTACAAAGTGACCTTCAGGTTGTCAGGGCAGGTC